AGGGAAGGTCAGCTGGCCAAACTTGTTGCACTGGCGGTTACATGATCCTACTCACCTAGGAAAAAAACAGTGTGCCAAAGTGGAATTGCAGGGAGACAGGCACACAGCAATTCTGTGTCATCTCTGCCAAAGCGAAGGTTTCTGCCTCCCACTTTCCTGTATCTGCTAGCAACACTGCTCATGCTTGCTTCCTCATTAGGATCATTTAATTTAATTCAAGATAAAAAAATCTATTATTATAAATTTTCAGCTAAGTTTGATCCTGTGACTGAACGTGGTTGGGGAGTGATTACATGATTAATCAAGCTAGTAGAGCCAAGAGAGTGATAGCATCTGGACAGCAGGCAAACTGATTGCTAATCCTGTTCTGCTACAGCCAGGGCAGGTCAGGTAGTGAAGCGCTTCACTGATCAGAAAAGATGGCAATACTTTCATATAGATAGATTTCCTCAGCTTTTCTTTTGGCTATATGTTTGTATTTTTTTAAGCTTTATGTGATGTCATATCATTTTTAAAAACAGTATGTCTCATTTTTTATAGATGCATGAATACAAATCTTCAACCCATCGCATTTTTCGTTTGAACAACATAGCCAAAGCACTTAAGTTCTTGGAAGACAGTAATGTGAGTATTTTGAAAGGCTGGTCTTATTTCTTCTCTCAATATATTTTGCAAATGTAATTAACTAGTCTAATGCACAGCCTGTACGTAAGAGGAATGTACTGTCTGAAAGAAGTTGTGACTTACCTTAACAGCAAGGCTGAAAAGCCACATAAAAATGCACAAAGAGAACAACTACAGAGTCTAAAAAACATGGATGATATGTTCGGTTTATAAAGTAAAATTTCAACAGGATTAAAGGATCAGGAACCCAGTATTAAAAGAAAACAAAAAGAAATGCAAGTAATCTTTATGGAACTGGGTCTCAGTGGCATGACTTCAGTTACTTCAAAGGTCGATGACTTTCCTTCCTTTCATTAGAAGTATTTTCAGTATTACAGATCACGTATTTCTCTGGTAAACTGCTGCAGCAGCTGAGCATGAGTCAAAGGCAAGAGAAAATTAAATCTCGGAAAATGACATAAATGCATAATTTCTGGAAACAAAACCCAATAAGGATATAACTTTCCTCATAGTCAGCGTGGCAGTACTGCAGCGTCACTGACAGAAGAACACTTCCTGAAAACTGACACAGTTGTAAGTGACAAAGCAAGATCACAGCCTATAGGTTGAAAAGGTTCAATCCTTATCAGTTTCTCCTGCTAGAGCTTTCTTCCAAAGCATTATGGATGTGTCCTGTGTCTTGAAAGGTCTCTCTGCTCTTAAAGAGAGGTGAAAAGTAATGGTGCCAAGATAAGTCCCAGCCATTTGACATGATTCCATTACATGGTATACCCAGATCTTTCATCATGAGAAAACGAATATTGGACTATGCCATACGACGGACCCCATATTCTTGCTATACTGAAACTTCTCTTTTTATCTAGAATCTGAAATACAGTCTTGCTTCTCCTCTCTTCTCAGCTGGGAAGTGACAGCAACGTGGCTTTGCCAGCTGCTGTTGAAATACACTGTGTAGTTCCCCTTGTTGGTCCTGTGTCTCAGCCATTCCTATTGCTGCTAATTTCCTGCTTGAGAATCCTCTCTTCAGGGTTCGTTTCTGACTATTTACTCTGCTCTCATATGAACACTAATGACTGCTTTGACTTGTAGGAAGAAATATCCTTCTCAATATGGAGTGGTTGGACAGAGACTTGGCTAAAGCTCTGTAGATTTAAAAAATACATGCATGAGTTCCATGTGCACTAAATTTCAGCTCGGGAAACAAGAACATCAGAAAATCCTTTTTCATTCATTCAACATTACCACCAGTATCCTCCAGTGGCAGTACCGCCAGAAGCCATAGGCCTGGGACAAGCCAAACTAATACGGGGTTAGGGGATGGCAGCACTCCTATATGTATACCAGTAAAAGAATGATCTCATGGCATCTGTTCTGTAGACAGGAGTAACAAATAATATCTGATAGATAACAAAAGATAACAAAAACTTCTCTTACGTGTGTGTGTGTTTTTATGTCATACATTAAAAGAAAATGGCAGCTTTTAAAACAAAGAGTCTTTTTAAAGAGTAGTTGCCTTTTGGAAAATCCACCAGAAGGGACTGATCTGCCCCTAAGAGCGTAGCTCTACGTATCCAGCTAGAATTATGGAGAAATAATTTATAAGTTCTTGAATTTCTTAGCAGTTTCCCAGTTGCTGCTTTCCACCCAAATCCAGTTAAGAGCCACTGGTAGATGAGTTTTTTCCTCTCTGTTGATCAATACATGGTAGAGCTGCCGCTCTCGAGTGTTACGAGCCTATGTTGTTGCCGGGACCTCGCCATGTCACAATCTGGAACCTCTTTGCACGCGGGCCAGCCAGGAGGAGCTCTCCTTGGACATAGTCAGCCTTTTAATTGATAGCGCTAAAACAACTACTTTTTAATGGTTTTTTTGGTTCCTTCCGAATAAGTAGCCAGTATCTTGTAGCTGGGTATCTCTACTGGGGTGTACTGACAAATGTAAGCAGCAGTGGGAGAACAGAGTTGACACTGAGAGCAGCCTAATGTTAAATGCCACTTGCTCCCCATCTTGGACAAACTGCTATTAAAATGCAGTCGATCTTAAAGGTTTCCTAACCCAAATATTTTGGAGCTAGAAAAAGTAGCTGAACCTTGAAGTACGACAGCTAGAGGTGTCTTCTTGCTAAGACTGAAAACTGTTCTGCAAGCCACTAGATAAAAGGTTATTTTGCTCTTTTTTTTTCCCTCCAGTTTGACCAAACTGGTTAGTGAAGTGTGGCAATGAAATGTTGGCAAAATGCCTTGGCTGCCAAGAGCTTCAGGGTTAGATATTAAAGCATAATGGGTGGAGCATGTCAGTGTGCACTTGCGTGGAACTGAGGCAGCAGTGTAAAGCGCTGCTAAGCGATTCATCGTGTGCAGAATTTCTAAGTGATAGATAGGCTGTATACGGGGCTTTAACTCAGTCTCTCTGTCCTTTGTAGTATTGACAGCTTCCTTACTTCCTCTCTGCACCATGACCTTTGCCAAAAACAAGTCTGTGTTGTCTAAGTGAATAACATTCTGGTGTTATCATGTGAAAGCAAGCTCAATGTGGGAAACTCTAGAATTTGCTTGGATTAGGCAAACCTATCCTTTGCTAACTGATCTCATCAGAGCTCTGTGACAAGCTGTGTAAAGTGAGATAAGCAAGGAGAAAGGAGATGCGTAATGAAACAGATCTAGGCAGATCTTATTAGGATTTTAATTTTTATGAGGAGCGGCTTCAAGTGATGTCCTCTTCCCCAGATTTTATCTGTATTCTGTCCAGCCTGTCTGAATTTTGCAATGTTTCAATACCTTAGACTAGATGAAGGCAGGAGGCATATCTCTGCCCTCTACAGTTTAAGAATAGGATCCACTGGAGGGGGGCACCATCTTGTTCCATGTTTGTTTGGTAGAAATGCTCTTGAGGATGCAGAACGGGGGTCATGCCTGTTGCACAGATCACGCTAGAGTTGAGCATGAGTTCAGTGAGCAGAATGGGCTGTGACCAGGGCAAATTACCACTAACACAAGCTTTTGGACTTCCTCTTTGGCCAGCTGGTCTGTGGCGGAAATATTCTGGACACATCCTACAGTTTCAGTACAAGATTTTTTTGCATTTACACTGTTTCTTTGAATTGTCTGTGATCTCTTCTACAGGTAAAACTTGTTAGCATCGATGCAGCAGAAATAGCAGATGGAAACTCCTCTCTGGTACTTGGACTAATATGGAATATAATCTTGTTTTTTCAGGTAATAAAACTTGAATACTTGAATCGTAAGTGATCTATCTTCACAGTGTTAAACTATTCTGTTGAATACTGCTTTTTAAGTTGATTTTTAATCCTGAAGAACACCTTTAAGCTTGCTAAACCTGAGTATTTCCTCCTCATCTACACTAATTTTATACCTGCAGCTGCTTTCATTTTACTGCACTGGAATTATTTTGGTGTAAATAGGAGACACTTTAGTCCCTGGTTGTTTTATTTTGACAGAATTAGAGCTTCAGATTGCTCCTTTTCCTTTTCTTCTGTGCCTTCTCAGGATTCCACTTGAGATTCCCTGGATCTGAACCAAATCCTTGGATTTGGTTCCAGGTCACAGTTTGTTTTCAATATTCTTTTCTGAATTTGGTCCAATATGGTGGACAATTTAATTTAGCATCACTGATCTCTTGAGACTTACTCAACTTGGTAGAATTCACCACTGATGTAGAGGGCCAAATAGAAGATGTTAAAGGGTCTGAGGTTTTGGAACTGATAAAATAATTGAATTAAATCTGAAATCTTATTTAGCCCCAGTCTTAGTCAGATTAAAACTGCTCCCTAATTTCCATGTGTTTTGAAAAGGACCTCCTAGACAATACCAAATTCTAATGAACAGGGAGAGATGAAGGGAGGCGTTCTGCAACTTTAAACTGGCTATAGGTTTGAAAACCAGTCTCTATCTGTAAGTTGAACTGGAGTTTCTGTCTGTGGCTGAGCACTTCAAATTAAACAGTGCTGCACAGCAGGCCAGAAGGACTCACAAGGAGAGGTGGTCCAACTAGAATCAGTCTCCCTGGCAGCAAGGAAGGGGCATGAGGGACCTAAAAGCAGCATTGTCAATAAGTTGGATCAAATATCAGTGCTGACCAAGGATAGGAGTGCTGTTGCAGGTCGCCGTTTCTTGACTAAAAATGTTTCACTCAAATGAGTTTTATTGAAGAGAAAGAGTGATTTCAGTTAAATTCACTTTTCTTTCAGGAATGTGTTTTTCGTTGTTTGTTTGTTTAATATGAATTTGTTCAGTTCAGTCTTATCTGATAGTCTTGCCCTTTCACGTCTCCTACAGTTGTTAGCCCGGCTGCTGCTGCTGCTTCTGGCTCTTAGGTCTGTGAAACAGAAGTTGAAAGTTACAGGGGACAGACCTATAATTACCTCTTAAAATTCATTTATGACCCTGTTATCTTAAAAGTATGCTAGCTTGCCTGAAAACAAACATTCAGTTCTCCATTCGCCCTATGTTAAATTGGTGTACTGCATGTTTCATCCTTTATTACAGATTAAAGAACTCACAGGGAACCTCAACAGGAACTCGTCCTCTTCCAGCCTGTCGTCTGGGCCCAGCGGGCCGGAGTCGGACACGTCTCACCCAAGCACTCCAAATGTAGAGAGAAACATGTCTGTTACAGTGAAGGATCAGCGAAAAGCCATCAGAGCCCTTTTAACCTGGGTTCAGAGGAAAACCAGAAAGTAAGTTAGTAAACTGTCACGGAAAATTGTGTTTTGCCAGCTGTCCTTTTGAAGCCAAAAGTCTTCTTTCTCTCCTGGCTAATGTGTAGATTACCATGAACTGTGGGGTCTTTTTACCTTTGAAGTTTGCAGGCGCATGGTACTGCAGCTGGGTTGATGTCAATGCACGTGTGTCTAAAGAGACCGTCTGACCTTCAAGCTGTGTACGTTGCTGGCTTCATGATTTGAGTGTTAAATGTTAACTTGCATTAATCTGCTTGGCTCTCTTTAAAACAGGATCGCTCCCTCCTCCCCTTACCCCTGACTTTTCTGCAATCTATTAGGTATTTGGTGCTACTTCGAGGGCAGGCATAAGTAAGGGTTGAACTGAAAACAACAAAATATTGGAAGACTTTAACAACTGCCTCCTAAGTTCAGCAGCTGACCCAAGAGAGCTGCTCTGTGTGCTCTAGAGTGCTTTGAGGAACAAAGTTCATATTACAATCCCCGTTTCCTCAGCATTTCAGAAGCGGAGGGAATTGCTTCTCATGAGTGTCTTTCATTTTGGGAACATTCCTTTGCTGAGCACATCTATCTCTTCTCTTTAATAAAGAACACAATCCTTTAGCCAAAGCATTTTGTGTCGGAGCGCAAGGCAGAATTATCGGCAGGTTAAGAAACTTGAGCGTTACGATGTCCTATAGTGCACGTGTAAATACTTTGCATGTATTTTACCTATTATGCAAAGGAATGACTGCCAGAGGTTTTTAAGGTGCTTGGGCCACACAAGTTGGATAGCTGGATATTTGGCATTTTTGTCTGTTGACAGATTTATATGCTCAAATTGCCTGTGAACACAAATACTCTGTGTATAGTGTTGAGGACGCAAATTTACATCTTAAATACTTGGTCATGTGGGCCACATCATCCCTTGGTTATCTCCAGTGAAGCTGAGGTGCTCGTTGAGCAGATAAATTTGTTCCACTGAGATCTACAGTTAACTGCTGCCAAAGCAGCCTGTAGAGGAAGCACAATCTTAGTCCTAAAATAAAGCTGAGGATATCATTAGCGGGGAGATTCCACAAGGGAAGTGAAAACCAGAGCAGGCCATAGACTTTTTCAGTCTAGCCTAATGGTACAAATTGAAAATAAATAATAGGAGAAACATTGTTTTTGCAACTGCTGTATTAAAAACATAGTAACTTGATCATAATCCTTTTATCTAATGACCTATATGGAGTTTTCTATTCTAGGGCTGTATTTCATTGCAAGTGTGGTCATTGTTTTTTCCTCCAAAACTCTGGGCACCTAACACACTTGTGGTTTATACATATACTGGCCCCATTTGCATTTGCATTTGCATAGCACCATTTTCCACTACAGAAGGCCAAGTACACAGAAATGGAATCATTTATGCTTATGTTTTTAAATACTTAAGTGTTGGCAGCCTTCCCAAGATATGGCATTAAAATGCTGGAGTGCCACAGAATCAGGAATCACACAGACATTTGCTTAACATTTGCTTTCGCAAATGTTAAATGTGGTTGCTGAGTACTTGATGGCTTTGTTTTTACTAACTACTTCCTACAAGCATGTTTATGTCAATTGTTAGCCACACTGATTCAATTTGTGAATCCTTGTGTTTTATGAAAGTATTTTGTGCTTTTCCAAATCCCCAAAGATCTGAGATGTGACTGGTGTAACTGAACAACCTTACGTGTAACTTTCATGAGTCTTTGAAAATGATGAGTGCCTATACCTTGCATGTGATAACACAGCTCTCATGTAAACTGTATGTAATTCCATTTAGATACGGTGTTGCAGTTCAGGACTTTGCCAGCAGCTGGAGGAGTGGCCTCGCTTTCTTAGCTGTCATAAAAGCAATTGACTCTACTTTGGTAGACATGAAGCAAGCACTAGAGAAATCGGCTCGGGAAAACCTGGAGGATGCTTTCAGCATAGCGCAAAATAAGCTTGGTGTTCCTAGGCTCCTAGAGCCAGAAGGTAAAACGCTTACATCAGTATTGTTGGGTAGCATTCAAATGATAATGAATTTGTGAATATTGCTTTGTCATACCTACTAAAAACCTCCCAGTGGGTAGGTTGCTGATGTGATCGGTGTGTTGTGCTGATTGATAAGGAGAAAAATGAATGGGTCACTGGCCTGTAGTCATATGCCTCCAGTCATGTTTGTAAGCTGCTTGAGGGCAGAGATCTTACCTTAGTTTTAGCTATGCACACTGGTCTTGGTTAATAAGTAGATGCTTTGTGACATCCACATTACTAGTGGGCCTTAATGGGCCTCCTGTTATGCTGAGAGGTGTCTCAATGCATTATCACCACTTCATAATGCCTACAGTCTACAAAGACTTAATATCACGCCAGGATGAAATGTATGACTGCCATACCAAAGAAAATGGGTAGATACCTATTCAAATGTATTTGCATGTCCAGGTTATTCCTTTATAATACACATATATGTGTAAATATAGAAATATATGTAAATATAAGCATATATACATATGCTTATAAATACATATATAAATGGAGCTGTTTCTTGCAGTGTTTTTTTCTGCACTCTGTGCTCTGGTGTTGAGCCTTGATTTTTATAACTGAAAGCACGGTTTGGTTATTTGTGCTTTCATGGATCACCTGTTAGAAGAATGGGCCCTCCTGC